TTATCACCTATAACCACCACTTTGAACACACATGGACTTCCTTTATTTTTCACTTCATGTTCAACGTCGATTTCAATCCTCACAGGACACTCGCTATTTGTAAGTGTATAGAAAAAATTTTGTTAAAACCATTGTCTGTAAACCATTAATTATTATTTTTTTTTTAAGAGGATGTTGTACATATCACTCAATCCATTTGTTGTTTCTTGGTTCTTTTTTTTTCAAGGCTAAAGTACTGCCAGGACCCCTAGTGGTCATCAGTTATCTGCAAAAAAATAAATAAATAAATAAATGCTGCTTTATCAATAGTGCCTTCCAATGAACCGAAAGTTATGCGATCAAAAGATGTTTTAACACCTCGTTATGTACAGTATTTTACAATGACTTACGAGCAATGGCGAGCTTCCTACGATCACAAAACCTATGATGTATACAATGGTTGGGGAAATCAACTTGCTTCGCATTTAGTTACACTGGGTATCACGTGTACCATCATTTTTCGATACCATCATATTCGAGATCCTACTTCATGGAAAAAGAAATCCAATTTATTCAGTGCCATAGGTCACTGTACAAATAGCGAGTGTCCTGTGAGGATTGAAATCGACGTTGAACATGAAGTGAAAAATAAAGGAAGTCCATGTGTGTTCAAAGTGGTGGTTATAGGTGATAAAAAGCACGATCCAAAGAAGGAAACGACCGGCCGTCCATTGACTGGAGCTGCTCGAGAAGCTATGGGTATATGTTCAATTGTTCACGAACCTATTGTATTGAATTTTTCTTTTAGCAAAACAAGTTAATCAACATGGACCCCTAGTCATCTATCAACGTAATTTACGATATGCTAATGAAGATTTTCTAAAAGAAGGAAACTTTAGTGAAGTTCCATCAATAGATGTATTGAAGAGAACCAAACAACAGTATAACAGGAAATATCAACTTGATGAAAATATTTTCCAAGACGTACGTATGTTTGGATATCTCACACGATCAATTGATCATACTTCTAAAGATATTAAAGGTAAGAAAGTTCACACTCTAGTGAGAATTGACATTTTGGATGCATTGACGATGACGAGCAAAAAGAGAACATCTCTTTTATATTATAATTAAGGGTTGAACCCCATTTTTCGCTCGATGACCCTCATCATAAAGACCACCATTCGATTTTCGAAAAGTGAACAACGGACAACCTGCAGACAATAGTCCAAAAATCGGACCAGTTGGGAACCACGTACCTGCTGCAAAAATTTTCTAAATTTCCTACCACCAGCGATCATTCGAGTGTGCCATCTGTTTATTAGTTTCTATATAGATGACACTAGTAAAACTTTTTACCAACATTGTGAAATTCCTTTATCAAATCAAGCGATAAGTTTAAACTTTTCTTATTTCTATACGTTCTTTTACACGCGTACTGTTCTTCTACGTGAAGAGATCTATGGCACTTTATTATTTGCAGATTTTTCACCAATGGAAATCGGATGAGTCATCTGGGTCTTTCTTTCCCTCTTCCTTTCTTTCTATAAACTTACTACATCCGCATACTATACCATTCAGGTCTTGCTGAATGTCAGGCATTCGGTTATTAACTAAAGATCATTTAAGGAAGGAAATACATTCTTCAGCATACATATTGCATTTGTCATACTCCATTCAGACTGTTGATGTTTTGAAAGAAAAGAGTGTAATAAAACAAAGTTGCAATTTCTTCTTTAATGAATGATGATTCTTTGTTTGACAGCACGTATTCTTCGTATTTTTAGATATATCTTATTTTGATTGACCAACAAGTGACAACTGACTACAATGTAAATTAGAGAATAGCAACATAGGAAGAATGTAGCGAATAGAAAATTTTTTTAGCTTAAGATGCAGTATGAACTTCTATTTCTATCCTCTTTTAACTTCTACTCTTTTGGCTACGTTACTGCCAAAGAACAGTGCCAGTCTAATGATGTTTACGATTTGTTTTCTATTTCAAATGTCGTCAGCACTATCGGTTTTGTAATGATTCTAATTCTTTTATACGAACAACAAACGATGATCAGTTTAATGCAGCATTTTTTATCTCGTTTTTCTACTTTGTGTTATTGGAGATAAATTGAATGTTTAGGGCATAATATTATCGGTAACAACGATAGAACTGCATTAAACACAATCATGTAATGAACTGAACTGAATTTTAATTTTTTCAAGTATGATTGTTACAAAGCAAGGCTAGCTTATGCTATTTCAACTAACTAAACTAACAGGATGTACAGGATGTGACACTTTTGGCGTTTAGTAATGATGCTTCCGATATTTTTTCAGCAATAGTCGCTGTACTAAGTGTAAATGGTGATGCAGACAAAAAAAAACAGTTTTGTAAGCACATTTTTTTTTGAAATGTAAAATTTCATGTTCAAATCTCGCTCAGTATGCGTAACATATTTCTATGTATTAGAAATGAACGTTGAATCTTCAAATGAATTAATAATCTTTCGTGTTACGAAACATTGCATGAGTGTCGATCTCCACAGACGGTACTGCTTTTCATCGATACCATTCTTCTACATTTCGACAAGATAAATTTCCCTTGAATTTCCTTAACTCATTAACATAATAGACTGTTTAATTGGTCTTGAAATTCCATTTACCATTGTTACGATTCGAAATGGAACATCATCCGCGGTACGTATTAGTTCATTCATAGCGATTAAAGCAACACATTCTATTAGTAAATTCATCGTTTGTTTTAGATAAAAGACTCATACTTACAAAATATCATAGCTTACTTTCTGTTTGGGAGTTTGGCTGGCACTCTTGTATTCATTCCGTTGAACAAATTTCACTTTGTGTCTGTTAGATCTCATTCTAGTCGTGTCTGGTTTTTTATTTTTTTCCTACTTTTATGATTTTCACAAACATGAATATACCGCTTCGCAGTATGTATCTATATGCGCGTGTGTCACACGTCTCTTAAACATTTGTGATGTACAGTATGTCTGTCACGCTATTTTTCTTACTGCATTCTTTACCAAATCCATTTTAGATTTATTTTGGTGTTATTCGATACAACGACTATTTTTTACAACTTTTTGAACCTAGCTTATTTTTCTACGATTTTTGTTTAATTACATTTTTTAAAGTAGAAAATTAACATGTTTTTTTACGTCAAATCAATCAAAAATCTTCCTTATTCGTGAGTTTTCTCACTGAGTAGAGCACAAAGAATAAATTTACGCATTGGTACAGTATGAAGTAAAATGTTTAAGGGAGATTTTGTTGATCTGATTAATATTTCACACAGAAAATCCTTTCAGCACGAAAATTTTCTTTGTTATATTGTTTCTAATTTTTCTTCATTTCTTCATTCTAGATTGAATAAATAACATAAAATGAATGAAAACATAACTGATGAGAATGGTGTCCCATCAGCAGCAAATGTTAGTTCAGAATCGAATTCAGACCATCTAAGCGCATCGAACGCTGTATTTTCAAAACGTACTTCTGTTATCAAACGTCAAAAAGAAAAACTTGAAGAAAAGGACGCTGACGAATTAGAGGTATGAATTACGGTGGAGCTCCTCGGATCTACCTTTTTGGGATCCAAATCGGGATTAGGAGTCCTGAACCAGATTTTTTGTCGAGATTTATTCGCAAGTTTATGAGTGTGTATGTGAGAAATAATTGTAATTGTGTTTTAAGGAAGAACTTGGGGGAGCCGATGATCCATTACCTGAAGAAGATGACGATGAAGAATATACGACGTTAAAAAAGAAACCAAAGCCCAAATTGGAACGCCCAATTCTTGATCCAGCTTATCAGAGTCGACTTGTACGTATATTGATTCGTTTTATTTTCTTTCCTCTATATTTTTGTTCACTTCAGAATCAAGATCAAGCCAAACGTTTCAATTATTTACTTGAACAAACAGAAATATTCTCACATTTCGTTCAAGACGGTACATTAAATAAACATCATAAAGGTCAATCATCACCGTTAAAAATGAAATTGCCAGTCGAAGCAGAAAAACAGAAATCAACTGCAAGTACTGGCAGTGGAGAGTAAGTATTGATTGATAGGATATTTTTAGTCTTCATATATGTCTCACTAAATATTTTCTCGTTCTGAATTTTTTTAGTCACCGCCATCGTGTAAGTGGATATGGAAATAATCATCAACTATCATTTTTTGCTATAATAACTATTCTTCTCAATTCAGATGACTGAAGAAGAAGAAGATGAAGAATTATTGCATGATGCAAAAGATGCAGAAAAACGGGATATAACTAGATTTGATGAGTCCCCCTGGTGTAAGTAGAATATTGATTGAGTAACATGTTTGTATCAACTGTTTTTACTTTTGTAGTTGTAAAAGGTGGCGAAATGCGCGACTATCAAGTACGTGGCCTCAATTGGATGATATCCTTGTTTGAAAATGGTATTAATGGTATTTTGGCTGATGAAATGGTCAGTTGTTAAAAAGTTGTGGGAGAGTACTTTTTCTCCTCTTGTAACAGTAATCATACTGTACCTTCAATTGTATACAACTTGAAGGATATGTTTGTCAAGAACCACTGTGTTTGAGTGATAATCTATTGCTATAAAAATTTCTCAGCTGGAAGTATTTCGAAAATCAAATAAAAAGCTTGACGTACGAATGTTTTAAGTAATTTTGATCCAAAGTCCTGTATATATTTATAGGGCCTAGGCAAGACATTGCAAACAATATCTCTGCTTGGTTATATGAAACATTATCGTAATGCTGGTTCACCACATATGGTCATAGCACCAAAATCAACATTACAAAATTGGATGAATGAGTTTCAACGTTGGGTACCATCAATAAAAAGTGTTTGTTTAATTGGTTTACAAGAAGAACGTAATCGAATTATTCGCGAAGAGATAGAACCGGGTGATTGGGATGTGTTAGTAACATCATACGAATGTGTCTTACGTGAAAGTACTGTATTAAAAAAGTATAATTGGCGTTATATTTGCATTGATGAAGCGCATCGAATCAAAAATGAACAATCAAAATTAAGTAAAATGGTTCGATTATTGAAATCAACAAACCGTTTATTAATTACTGGGTAAAATAACTCATATATAAGTACTTTATCAACTCAACTCTTTATGTTTATTTTTAGCACACCATTACAAAATAATCTTCATGAATTATGGGCACTTTTGAACTTTTTATTACCCGATGTGTTTGATTCGGCTGACGATTTTAATGCTTGGTTTGATACACAAAAATGTCTTGCGGATGATACCGAATTAGTTACACGTTTACACGGTATTTTGAAACCATTTTTATTAAGACGATTAAAAAGTGATGTTGAAAAAAAACTACCACCAAAAGTTGAAACAAAATTATATGTTGGTCTTGCACCTTTACAACGACAATGGTATACAAAAATTTTAATGAAAGATATTGATATATTGAATAGTGCAAGTGGAAAATTGGATAAAGTTCGTCTGTTGAATATTCTGATGCAATTAAGAAAATGTGCTAATCATCCATGTAAGTTTGTGGTATAGAAATTTTCTGATTACATTATTGTAAGACAATTTTTCTTTTGATTAGATATTTTTGATGGAGCCGAACCTGGTCCACCGTACACGACCGATAAACATTTAGTTGATAATTGTGGAAAAATGGTTATTCTAGATAAATTATTGATCAAATTAAAAGAACAAGGATCACGTGTATTGTTATTTAGTCAAATGACGAGAATGTTAGATATATTAGAAGATTATTGTATATGGAGAAATTTTGAATATTGTCGATTAGATGGTCAAACATCACATGAAGATCGTCAAGCGTCAATCGATGCTTATAATAAACCCAATAGCACAAAATTTTTATTCATGTTAAGTACAAGAGCTGGTGGTTTGGGTATTAATTTGGCAACAGCGGATATTGTTGTATTATACGATAGCGATTGGAATCCACAAGTTGATTTACAAGCCACAGATAGAGCCCATCGAATAGGACAAACAAAAACCGTAAGTTGAATGTTTTTAAAAGCTTTTTGTTATATTTATTTTGAATTACTCATTTCAGGTTCGTGTCTTTCGTTTGATAACTGAACATACAGTTGAAGAACGAATTTGTGAACGTGCCGAAATGAAATTACGGCTCGATCATGTTGTTATTCAACAAGGACGTTTACAAGATGCATCGACAAAATTAGGAAAAGACGAAATGTTATCAATGATTCGTCATGGAGCATCACATGTATTCTCATCAAAACAAGGCGAAAGTGAATTAGATAAAGATATTGACTTGATTTTGGCTGAAGGTGAACAAAAAACGCAAGAATCACGAAAGAAATTTGAGGCATTAGGTGAAAATCAATTGAGAAAATTTACTATTGATAATGCGGATTCAACAGATGGTGATGGAAAAGAAACTGGTTCTATTTATAAATTCGAAGGCGAAGATTATCGTGAGAAACAATCGTCTGGTCTTGGTATTAAATGGATTGAGGTATAAACGGATGTACGTGCTTATCTGTTTAATTTTAACATTTTTTTTCTGAATTTTCTAGCCGCCTAAGCGTGAACGTAAAGCAAATTATGCTGTTGATGCTTATTTTCGTGAAGCATTACGAATGACTGAACCACGTGCGCCAAAAGCACCGCGACCACCACGTCAACCAAATGTACAAGATTTTCAGGTATTTAGTCATATCTGTGAATAATCTAATTATTTAGATGAATTTGTTTACAATTTTAGTTTTTTCCACCAAGATTATTCGAATTATTAGATCGTGAGATTTATGCATATCGAAAACAAATCGGTTATAAAGCTGTACGTGATCCAGATTTGGATGATAATGAAAGTAAACGGCAACAGCAACAAGAACAGAGAAAAATTGATGAATCAGAACCGTTGACAGATGATGAGCAATATGAAAAAGAACAATTGTTACAACAAGGTTTTACAAATTGGACAAAACGTGATTTTAATCAATTTATCAAAGCAAACGAAAAATATAGTCGTGATGATTTAGAAAATATATGTAAAGATGTTGAAGGTAAAACACCGGAAGAAGTCATGGCCTATGCGCGAATCTTCTGGGATCGTTGTCATGAATTAACTGATATCGAACGTATTATGGCACAAATTGAACGTGGTGAAACAAAAATACATCGACGTATCAGTATTAAAAAAGCACTTGACACAAAAGTAAGCTAATTTAGACTCATTTTAGTTCATTCAATCACTTTATTTTTATTTTCTAGATGGCACGTTATAAAGCACCATTTCATCAATTACGTATTCAATATGGAACTAATAAAGGAAAAAATTATACGGAAGAAGAAGATCGATTTCTACTTTGCATGCTTCATAAACTTGGCTTTGATAAAGAAAATGTTTATGAAGAATTGCGCTATGCTGTTAGACAATCACCGCAATTTCGTTTCGATTGGTTCTTGAAATCACGCACATCAATGGTACGTTAGTTCTCACTTTCCGTTACTAAAGACTTTTTTTCAATAAATATTCTTTTTATGCAGGAATTGCAACGTCGGTGTAATACTTTAATCACATTTATTGAGCGAGAACAAGAATTAGAAGAAAAAGAGCGTGCTGAAAAGAAAAAAGGGCGATCGAAACTGAACACTTCCAATTCACAAGCAGCCACAATATCAAAGGTTAGTTTTAATATTCGAAAATTGTTTAATAGAGCTGTATTCTTTTTGTCGGTTTTAGAGCAATGGTGGCCAAAAACGAAAACCCGATGCATTTGCAACACCACCTACCAGTTCACCAGCCAAACGAAAGAAGAAAGTAATATAATTCAATATGTAACTGTATGCTTACTTTTGTTATTGAAAACGAATCAAGCATTTTTTTTGTTTCTCATATGATTGGCTTTTTTCAGATTTGTTCTTTTGGTTTTTTTTAAATTTTTTTTGTTAAACTTCTGTTACAGAGTTGAACTGTAAAAGAGTAACAAAAAAGTCTGTCTCTCTTTCTCTCTCAATATTTCTCTGACTATTGACATATTAGGTAATTTTTCCTGCTTCGTTGTTTGTGTGTCTAACGGTTTTTTGTTTGTGTTTACGTTGTTCAATGTAAACGACTGTTTTCCGTTACTTCATCGTCTAAATCTCTTTTTTGTGCATCTGTTTTCTCAGAACAATTGGGATTGGATGCTTTATTTTGTTGTGTATGTAAATTTTAATATAATGTCATAATGTGTTTTGCTGTGTCTTATATGAGATATATGTCAAGAAATGATACATTTTGTGATGGAGAGAGAAGTGTTTCATTGAGCAAATGATCCACTTATATTTTTTAAGAGATCTCCAAAAAAGAACTTGGACACATGTACAAAACTTAAATGATTATATATCCATATATTCTGTAATTCTCAGGGGAGCCAGTTTTCGCTGACATTTGTGCGAACAACGGTATAGTAGTGTTGCATTATAACAGCAAGACTCCAATCGATACAATTGTGCAATAGACTAAAGTTCAATAAAAATTGCTGTTCAAACGATGAAGATTTCTGTTAAATTTTAAGTCGATGTTGATAAGCAAATGGTATATGATTTTGTTGCTACTGTTACTGATATATAATATTTTTGTTGAACAGTTGCATTGACGTGGCTTGTACATTAACAGATCTCATCGCCTATATTTTTAAACAATAACTGAACAAAATCAGCTTTTATGTCTTATACTAAAAAAGTATTAATATCGAAAGAATATATCGCAGATATCAAATATCGAAATACCAGAAATCGTTTTTCTCTGATGAATTCATAGCTGTTTCCTTTTGAATCGTCGTAGATTGGGACAAGCTGATATATTTACCATTTTTTATATTTATTCTAGTACACAATGTGTGTGCAACTATGACTTCATATTTTAATACAATTCGTCATGCTTAATGTGAGAGACATAGCCAGACACATAATCTAATTTTTTTGTAGACTGATCGACTTGTTCTTACAATTAGCATTATTAAATCTCTGGTTTATAATTCTTTATAGTAAATGAATGTTTTTGTTTAAAACTATTATCCTTTTCTGAAAAAGAGGTGGCTCGGCAGAATGCTTATCACATTTGAATAAAAAGTGATAGAAACATGCGGTTTTCGCCGCTGGATAGAGAACATCGGGAGACGTAAGCGTATGCAAAAACTAGGCGTCCAGGTAAGGTCAGCCGACCTAAAGTCACTATACCAGGATTTTCAAATTAAAGCATTCTATCGCTATGTTGTGTATAGAGTGGATATTTCGAAAATCTTTATATAGTGACTCTAGGTCGTTTTGAGACTAAAAATAAACATCATCACTCGACTCAGCGTGGCCGACTACCTCAATCTTGACCCATTTTAGGATCACCCAAGATCAACTGGTCGAAATTGGGGCTCTCGGAAAAATGCTTATAGCTCCTGAACCGTAAGAGATAGAGAGTTAAGACTGGTCTAGAATTGTAGATCTCTGCGAGGGCTATCGATTGCACTGTTTGAAAATCAAAATCCATCGTACGGTCCAGGAATGGCAGCCTCGTAGACTTTGCATCGAAAGGCTTACCATGGTAAACCTTACCTGGAAGTCTAGTTTTTGCATATGCTTACGTCCCCCGATGTTCTCTATCCAACGGTGAAAACCTCATGTCTCTATCACTTTTCGTTCAAATGTGATAAGCATTCTGCCAAGCCGCCTCGTTTTTAGAAACGGATGATAGACCATACAAAGCGAAACTTTAATCTGTATGAGAGAGACTTGATAAAAGTTTCTACCATGCTATTCTATGTTCATAATTTTACAATTCTTCTTTAAGAATGCTTACAACTTCTTAATGTGACGTCGTACAGAACGATGACAATCTATAACTGTACATTTGTATACTTTTATTGTTCATATATTTGTTAGCTTAGCGAGAACAATAATATTTTCAAGATATGTTTTATCTAGCCAAACTTTTGTTAAAATTCATAAAAACTGGTAAAAATATAAAAGTTTATACAGTTTCTAAAAAATAGACAGTTCAGACTAGACTAGACCTGTGACAGTTCACCGTTTGTTGAACTCTAGTTCCTCGATAACGAGGACTGCTTCTCAGTTCTCGCTTATTGAACCGAAACTGTTTTCAGATTCCGTTCCTGAATTAAAAATGGTCCAACAGCTCACGTTCATTGGAAAGAGGAACGACTCATCAATTCTAATTCCTTCGAACGGAAACTACAGTTGTTTTTGAACGAGGAGCTGCTGATGTTTTTCTTTTTAGTATGTTAGTTTGTCTCCTTTTTCAAAATGTTTTCTATATGAATAAATAATAAGTTTCAAGGAACTAGAACTGGTGAGTCGTTCCTGAACCGTAGGACCGTTTCCAGTTCAGGAACAAAAACCATGAATTGTCATAGTTCTAGACTACAATGTGTAATGCAATACTTCCTTTTAAGAGAAAAGAGGATTTCTGACGAAATAGTCCGTAATAGAAGAGAACTTTTCTGTTCTAGTAGACAGACTAAGGTGCTTAATGAACCTTAGTATCATTCCGGAGCAAGGATTGTAAAGACAAAATGCCATTAAGAGTGAAATTGATAATTGTTTACTCTCGATTAATTTAAATGTGACATTTATCAAATAGAATACAGTTACATATACTGATATATCAGATAAGCATACACAGTTATAGAACAGGGAGGAAATCGTTCATTTGAATATAGTAATAGAAAGTGCAAAGTAAATCAACGAGCTGTCGAATTTATCTTTGAATAATCCAATAAAATCAGAGAATCGGATGGATAGTGAGGTAGAAAAATCTCGCAATTGTTAATATATGTTAGCGTGTTCAATAATAAGGCATTCGAGTTTTCATTTTCATGAAACTATTAAATAACTAATTGTTAACACATCTTTCTTCATTCGTGCGTTTAATACGTTTCCTTCACAAGAAAGTGACATAATTAGTCCAAAAACACATAGTTAACACTACTCACATGCGATTCTGTTGATTTTTATTTATTAAATATTGATTCGTAGCCAGATGCTGTAATCTGACATTGTTATGTGAGGCTTTGTGCCGTGGGATATAATTTTAGATTGTTTTGCATCAAGACTTTGATAATCCCAGTAACCATTATCATATTTCCTTCTATAATACAGATTAACTCAGTTCTCTTGTTTGCCAGTATTAAACTCTACGGTACCCATTACATACGACATATTAATCTAATAGAGAAATAAAATACAACTTTGAATCGACGTACTGTTAAAACATTTTTCGATATCGTTTAGCTTTTAGTCTTTTCGGAAACTTCTTTAAAAAGTAATGAGCAAAGTAATGGAAAAAGTTTTTCAGAAGTACTTCGATCCAAAATTTATTGCGTACAAGGCAAGAGTCAAATCTGCAGTTGGTTTCGACCGAACAAGCTTTTAAAGGTTTGTGATTAGGTCTATATGACATATCTTGCTTAGTATTTTCCATAAATAGTGGAAAAAATCTAACATCTGTGATCGAATTGCATCGAATAAAGTATAACCCAACAGCTACCAAGAAAATATTAGAAAATAATTTTTTTAATATCATGTTTTGGGCAGTAGACTAAGCCTCACAAAAAAAAATATTTCTGACTCGTTTTTCCTGTCCGCTGTTACACATGTAAGGATGTTTGCTGACGAGAAGATTATACAGCAAATAAAGTTATTTTAGAGATTGTGGCGAGACTGAATAAGACGAACAATATGTTCATCGACACGTTCCAGAAGTATGTAAAAAAGAGTACTAATTGTCAATAAATATTTTTTTTCTTGGGATATTGGTATAAAAACATATAGATCTTTCAAACTTTCTTACACACACACACACACAAAACAGGCGTTGTTTATGAAAGAAACGTTCTTTAATTGTTCGTTCACGTTTTGAAACGTAAAAAATGTTTTTTGACATCAAAAACGATAACTTTTTCTGCTAAAACTATGTACAAGATTTCATCTACTTTTTCAAAACACATACACATATTGTATTCTGATCAATGGATACTTTGGTATATTGGCATTTTTTGCAAAACTAATTTAGATTATTCGAATTTTTCTCTTGTTTTTACCATTAGGTATATTGGATGACATTGACAAAGCTGTTTGATGCTAACAAGTCATTTTATACTATGAAATATTATTTTCTCATTTGCAAAAACGATTAGTCGTTTCTTTAGTGCCATGATTATTATTAATCATCATGTTAGTAATTATAAAACGTGTTTAATAAATCAGTCAGTCTGAAGGTATAACGGAAATGAGCGGTGCAAAATGATAATAAATAATCTATATATCGTCTCAAGGAAATCAATTTTATGTTCTAACGTTTATATAAGGATATTTAATCATCGACAAGAAATGAAGTATTTACAATAAACTAAAACTTGTATATAATGACAAAGCTACTGTTTAATCTTCTACAATCAAATGTAATTTTATCTATTCAAAGAGTGACATTGCAGAATTCAACCAGGTGTTGAATTTATCTATTTTTCTGAATAGTACTCATAGTTTTATGTATTATCATTTATCATCTTATTTTGATGTAAATAATGGCAATTAATACAAACAAAATGTAAATAATAATAGTAGCAAAGTCATAAATAATAATTTTTATCGAACAATTTAATTTAGACAAATTAGAATTTCTTTAGTATTACAAATTAATGTTCAGTCACTCATTCATTTGCTGACTTTCTATCTATAAATAGATATGATTTTTTTTTTTTCTAGAATAATTTATCTTTCTCGTCGATTCTTATTAGAATAATCAACCAAACTACTATTATAGAATGAAATTTT